TAATAATTAAACAATAATAATAAAATAATAAATAATAATAAAGTAATAAATAATAATAAAATAATAAATAATAATAAAATAATAATAAATAATAATAAAATAATAATAAATAATAATAAAATAATAATAAAATAAGAATAAAATAATAATAAAATAATAATAAAATAATAATAAAATAATAATACAATAATAATAAAATAATAATACAATAATAATAAAATAATAATAAATAATAATTGTGTTTGTCCTTTATTTCTTTCTTTGCTATTCAAAATCCATATAAATTATAATTAATAATAATAAATAATAATAAATAATAATAAATAATAATAAATAATAATAAATAATATTAAATAATAATAAATAATAATAAATAATAATAAATAATAATAAATAATAATAAATAATAATAAATAATAATAAATAATAATAAATAATAATAAATAATAATAAACAATAATAAATAATAATAACAAATAATAATAAATAATAATAAATAATAATAAATAATAATAAATAATAATAAAAAATAATAAATAATAATAAATAATAATAAATAATTATAAATAATTATAAATAATAATAAATAATAATAATAATAATAAATAATAATAATAAATAATAATAATAAATAATAATAATAAATAATAATAATAAATAATAATAATAAATGATAATAATAAATAATATTAATGAATAATAATAATAAATAATATTAATAAATAATATTAATAAATACTAATAATATATAATAATAATAAATAATAATAATAAATAATAATAATAAATAATAATAATAAATAATAATAATAAATAATAATAATAAATAATAATAATATATACTAATAATAAATACTAATAATAAATAATAATAATAAATAATAATAATAAATAATAATAATAAATAATTATAATAAATAATAATAATAAATAATAATAATAAATACTAATAATAAATAATAAATTATGTGTTTTCATCTAACAATTTATTAAAAGTCAAAATATTTAAAAGCGATGTATATTCGCCTTAAATCGAATTTGTTAGCTATCATTTTATATATAGAGAAATTAGGACAGAAAATCTAAACACGACTTGATGAAAAATAAAAAAACCAGACTTCTTTTAAAATCGTCTAATTTATTATCATATCTAATACAACTATTATTTTTCAATTGCTTTTTTTCATATTTTTCAGTTATTATTCGGCGTTTAGTTCACTTTAATAGCCGCTCGTAATTTAGCAGAACGACTTCGACTATTGCGTGCCACTTCGGCTTCATCCGGCACGATAACATGTTTATGCAATTGCTTCCAAGCAGTTCCAAACAATGAATCTACAAATTCCTGCTCATGCGTAACATCATGACTGCAATATTTTAATGGCACTGGATTGGCCAGTCCCTCCACGACATTACCATTGATGTGTCTTTTAACAATTGTGTCTTCCAGTGAATGAAAGGTAATAGCAACCAAACGCCCGTTTTGGCGCAAAAATTTATTTGCCAGAATCATGCCATAATTAATTTCGTTCAGCTCGTTGTTAACAAAAATGCGTAAGGCTTGAAAGGTTTTGGTGGCCACATGTGTAGGGCGTTGCAATTTATCTAAACGATATGGGTCACACATACAAGAAGCGACCAAGTCTGCTAATTGCTTAGTAGTTTCAATCTTGTAAAAAGCTGCACGTGTTTCCACTATGGCACGTGCTATCTTCTTTGCGGCTTTCTCCTCACCATAAATACGTATGATCCTTGCCAAATCTGTTTCTTCAGCTCGTGCCAGTACATCTGCTGCAGTAAGCTGATCTTTGTTAAGCCCACGATCCATACGCATATCTAGTGGACCATTTTTGGATATAGAGAAGCCACGTTCTGCTTCATCGAATTGCATTGATGAGCAACCAAAATCGAAGAGTATGCCATCAATGCTATCATATTTAACATTGTGTTCATGTAGTAAATACGGTAGATCCGAAAATTTTCCCAACAATGGTATTAGACGTCCAGAATATGCCTCACTCATTTCTATGGCTAATTTATAGGCAATAGGATCACGATCGAGTGCGTATACTTTGATATCCTGACAACTTTCTAGCAACTGCTTTGTGTGACCACCAGCTCCAAAAGTCATATCGATAAAGGTTTGTTGCGATGTGGGATTTAAGTAGTTTATAGCGGTTTCACATAGGACGGGTATGTGTGGTTGTGTAGGCATTGCCTCCGTGCGAACAGTGCAATAATTGCATTTAATATTTTTTATTAATTTTGAACTGATACGTAAACGCCACATTTTATTTAAATGTTAAATAAAATATATTTCAAAAATATTTGTTTATTTGTTTTTCTATAAACAATTTAGCTTATTATAATTAAATTTTATTTTCTATTCTTTTTTTCACTTTCGTCGTTAAGATACTGCAGAAATTCGGAAGACAACACTTGGTTGCACTGCTCCGCAGTCATGCCAGTTGCTGTGGAAGTGTGAATTCTCTTATATTTGTTGGCATAAACGTTATTGGAAATTCTTTCCAAGGCATCAATCTGTTTACCCAATTGTTCGTTTGCTTCGTTTGTCAGTCCAGCCGGATTGGTTAGCTTTTTAACTTGTTTACGTATTTGTTCTCCCAAATCCCTAATAAAGTATTCAAAATGATTTTAAAAATTTATGGAATATATTAATAAACTAGTGAATGTTAGCATTGTAAGCGTGTTGCAATAAAAATGTATGAATATGTCACACCAAATAAAAAAACAAAGGCATATGCGACTACGATTAGAACAAGAGCAATTAAATTATAATCTATAATAAATATATTATAATAAATACAGATTAATGTAGTTTAAAAAGTGTATATATGTGGAATTTGATCAAAAAGTAACGAGAATTTTTAAATTGTGTGCATTTAATCGTGTTAAGTAAGTTCGGTATTTTTTTGTGTATAGGTTGTACTGTCATTTACATAAGTATCGCATGAGCAACACATACATTAGTGATTTAGCGATTTTTTGTCTGGTAAAATATCGGATCAGAAAGTTGGTGTCAAATTGAAACGGATTTAAATATATCGAAGCATGAAATATGATAAAGCAGGCCTTCGGTAACAATGTATCCTGACTATGTTAAATTTTTGTCTTATAAAATATCGGTTTAAAAAGTTCGTGTCAAATTGAAACGGATTTAAATATATCGAAGCATGAAATATGTTAAAGTAGGCCTTCGGTAACAATGTATCCTGACTATGGTAAAATTTTGTCCTGTAAAATATCGGATCAAAAACTTCGTGTCAAATTGAAATGGATTTAAATATATCGAAGTATGAAATATGTTAAAGTAGGCATTTGGTAACAATATATCCTGGCAATGATTTAAGTACAAACGCAATAAAACAATGAAAAAAATTAAACATATGATAATTCTAAGCACAAGTATAACCAATAGAGAGTTAGCTAAAGATAATAGATAAGCTGAAAATAAATAGCTGAAGATGAGTAGTAATACCATACGTCTTCTATGATCCGACATAAACATAAAAATAATGGTAACAAAATTTATTTCGAAATTTTTATTGCCTTTCTAATAATTGTTGCTGAAATGTAACATCGCAGTAATGTCCCAGATAACACATTTTTTAGGTATAAATTAATGAAATTTCTTTTCATATCTCAACTCCCATTGATCCTGTCCATCAACGTTTAAATAAAATGTAAAACCAAAATTTTAACCAAAAAAGGACAAAATAATATTTTTTTTAATTAAAATACACTGTTTTATCAATTTCTACTCTACGTAAGTACTTTTTCAAAAGAGTTGGCATCTATAAAATATTAGAACTTAGGTCCAATTAAAGCAATGTAAAATATAATGTCTCCTGGTTTCAGCGGCTGACTGAATCTATACCCTGAGATTAATTATCTACGTTGAAAGCGTTAAATAATCCCTCTCCAATGGTGTTCGACCTTTGCCTGAAAACACGAAAGTCACAGACTTTCTAAAAAGAGTCACTGGAAGATATCAATTCATAAAGTATCGATTTAACCTTAAAGCGAAATCAATATTTATTTTATACAATATAATTATAGTACATATTGTTCTTAGACATCTTGTAATTGATGTTAACAGCTTCCATAGACTAAAGAAATTAACTTAATCATTTTTGCAAAAACATATCAATATCATTTACAATAACAATAAATTCATTTACAAATGTGAAATGGTTTATATTATAAACCTATATATATATATATATATTATATATACTAAAGGTAAAGAAACTTACGCTCCATCAAGGGCATTCGCCAGGTACAATTCACTGAATTCCTTCTGATAAGCATACTTGGAAGACATATTTATAATGAAATATAGAATACTTCACAAATAATAAAATTTAATATTTAAGAACGATTGTGATTTACTGACTGCAAAAGCACGTTTTATCAATGCACCGTACAAAACCGAACTAATTTTAGAAAACACGATTATAGAAAGCGTAGGCCCTTCTGTTGTAACAACCTCAACTCGGAGAAGTAATTCAACAAAAACCTGCTGTTGCTCCGAGATTTTTTTACAATGTAATGAATTATAAATGTAAGAGTTGTTAATTCTATTAGGTAACAAACAAATGCATTAATATCAAACAGTGTGTTCGTGTGTGCATGTTAGGTGATAAGTATTAGCATCTGAAATTTTTCTTTACCTGCCAACTTTAGTCTTATCAGTGGGCCACTTTTCCAATAATTTCAAAAATCTTTGGTATTGCGCTGACATAGTTAAATAGCAACTTCATATAGTTTGCTATTATTATAACGACTCAATAAAATAATTAAATTTACAAAATAAACATTCTCAAGCGGCTCCTAAATAGTTTCGTAATTGCCAAAATTGAAATGTCAAACTCAGCTGTTGTCGCACGTGAATATTGCGGGGTATGTTCAGTCAAAGAGTATAAGTGTTGGAAGTCTACAATATTGCAGAATGTTATAAGTCCAAAAACAGTATATAATTTCAATGAAATTTGCACAAAAAGTTTTGAAAATTTTTAAAAAAAATTAATTTAAATATTTAAAAATTCTCATGTAGATTCATTGAAGGTAATTAAATAAACGACATTTTTTGAATTGTCTTCATATTCATCATAATAACATATAAAAAGCAAAACGAACATTACAGTCTCTATAGTCACACTCAAAGTGATCACACTTACAAGCCTTTCATATAACATATATGAATATTTCACTTTGAAAATATTTTCACAGCCCCAGCAATTAAATTTATTTTAAATGTGAAATAAAATGTGAATAAAATATATGTGACACTATGTTTATATCATGTTACCACTGCAGCTAAAACTATGTTAATGAAATTAAGATTTTGTACTTTCCATTCGAGTTAAAGAATTTTTTTTTTTAGAATTACAAGAAACTAGAAAGAAACTAGAATTACATTTTAAGTTATTTATTTATTTGCAATCAAGAAAAGCACAGAAATTATAGTGAAGTAAAATATTCAGAAATTAAGGCTTCTGACTTTAGTTTTTTTCTTATTGTCAGTAAAAAAAGATTCCACTTTATTCAAACTCTTATAGTGATCATCAGTTGTAACATGGTATTATTCGTTTGCAAATATAAATTCAGAATTTTGAATAAGTATTCTACTTCATTCTTGGAAGGCTGATGAACACTTACACCAACCGAACCCTCATCATCACTTTCCGTTGCGCTTAGAATTGGATCCAACACAAAGAAACAACATAAGAAAGAAATAATTAAACATTTGGTTTGGAAAGGACTTCTTCTAACAGCAAAATATATTTATACTTAAAATAAAAATTCGACTTATTGATTACATTTTCCCATAATCCTATCGAGTTATAGAGAAATTCGAGTTATAGAAGTGCGAGTTATGGAAGTTTGACTGCATATGTATATCATAGATAAGCCTTATTTTTTGTAATAATTTTGCCAATTTGATAGACAAATTTACTGTAACTTTGGATTATTATATAAGTATTCAATTTTAGATTTCTTCAAGATTTTTTTTCAGTTGCTAAACTACTGCCAAAATGCTAAACTGTTAAATTTGAACATCATAGGTCCAAATATTTAATATTTTGTAAATTTTAATATTTTGTTAAGCATTTTATGTATAGAATTTGTATACGCATGAAAATATGTTTCACTACGTTTAAAATGCATAATCGCACCAAATGCGCTTCTATTGTAGTTGTCGTTAAAACATTTTAGCGATTTAGCACAAGTTTAGCATATTAAATAATAATCATCGAGTTGTGAAGTCTCATAGTATTACTTTCACCTGCTATAATCAAAATTTTGGAATGCAAATTGTAAATATATAATACTATAATCCAAAATTCAGGAAAAAATCAGGCATTAAGGAATTAAAAGAAAGATTTCTCATCTCACAGGTGAGTGGAGAAAGTGCGATGTTATTGTTATAAGCAGTAGTGGAAGAATCATGAAGAGAATTATTGGTTTCAACTAGTTTATATGTTCAATTTATTTAATATTTTTAAATTTAATTTAATAATTATTTTATTTTTATTTAACTCTAAATAATTTTTATTTGAGAGTGAACTTTTCTTTAACAGTTTGACAATAATTGGATGTCATCGTCTGACATTTCTGCTTCCAAAATGATAAATTTTTCAATTTTGGCAGACATTGAGAAAATTTAACAATTTTTACGCTTAGGAAAGAATTTTAACAAATTCTTGTGTTAATAAGTGCGTCGAGGCCCTGATGATAAAAATCAACAATTGTTGATGTTAAACAATTGTTGAGTTAATCGAATTAAAAATATTCAAACCAATTCAAACTTGTTGGATAGTTATTAATTAGTGTCTTTTATTGATATAATTGGTATTTGAACGCATTGTTTTACTAAATTATTATAAAAAGAACTTAACTTACTGCACCCGTTTTCATTGTTAGCAATTTACAAGAATAATGCGCTTATATCATGTGCTCTATTGGATTTTGGGATGCCTGTATATAACATAATCATAATAACACCACACAATCTGTTGCGCTATACCTTAGAACGTATGTATATAATATAATTTAATTTAATTTAATCCGCGTTAAAAATCTTTAGTATTGCTTCTTACACATAATATTGTGTATTAATAATTAGAGATAAAATTTAAATATAATAAGCCGTTATTTAAACTTCAAAATTTCAACTATTTTAAAATAAAATAAATAGTGGGTTTGCACTAATTAATTTCATATCTTCTAATACAATTAATCGCAATAAATGTTAATTATTAATTTTATGAAATTAATATCCCGTATGTGTGGCAACACTATAATTACGTCACTAAATAATCTACTCTCACTGCTGCCGTTGTCGGTGTGTTTTTGGACGGAATAAATTTCCTCACCAAAATTCGCGTAAACGAAACGATAAAAATTATTTAGAAAGAATTGAATATTTTGAAACGAATCACCGACAATGTCTGGCCTAATATCGATGACGTCGCGATGGCTGCCGCGAAATGCATTAAGTATAGGAGTCCAAGCAGCACGGAGCCAAGAAGTAAGTCTTTGCAACACAATGTGTCGCAACCAAAGTGTTATGTGTTATGTGTTTGTGGATTTCGCGAAGTGAACGAGATACTTTACGCAAAACGATTATGTAATGTTGAAATAAAATTTAGGATAATTTCAATGAAAGTGCATAGACGTGGAGTGCAGCTGACTTATCCAGTCGACTCACGTGATTTGCAAAGAGAATTGCTTTTACTTGTTGTCTGGTTGTGCAATCAATAATTTTGCTTTGTGTGTTTCTAGGTTAAATCAGCTGCAACACTGCGACAGTTTTCCAGGTTAGCAGTAGCTGGAACACAAATATTAACTGCCGAACACCCGCCCGTTGGCGTAATCAATACGAAAAGGTCTTTTATAATATGTTTATTTTGAATGTTAATATATTTTTATTATATATGTAGACCGCTGGGAGTATGTTCTTGGAAGCGAATACATACGACTGCAGGTCTGTGGGAATCACAAACTGTGAAAGTGCCAGGGTTTGCTGATTCCGTATCGGAAGGTGACGTAAGGTAAATGTGAAAGGATGACTACATGTCAAGGTTATTCCAACAAATGAAAAATAGGTCATTGGCATATCAAGTTTAATTAGAGACCGGTTTTGTCAAATGCTTTTTAAAAACGATCAGTATTTAATTGACTTAAAATTATTTTTTAATTGGAATCCACTTAACTACGCTATAAGCTAAAACTTGAATATCTAAATAAATTATTTCATTTAATATATGTTATATATATGTATTGTATTATATATTTATTATATATTATATATTTATTATATATTATATATTTATTATATAAAATATTTTACATCTACATATCATATGTACATATTTATTATATATTAATTATATACAATATATTTATTATATATTAATTATATATTAATTATATATTATGTATTTATTCTATGTTATATTTTTATTACATATTTTATATATATTGTATATTTAATTAATATTATGTATTTATTTTATATTATATATTTATGACATGATATATATTTTTATTGTATATTATATATATTTAATACATATTATTTATTGGATACTATATATTTAGTATATATGTTTACTGTACATTAGATACATATTTATTTGTAATATATTTAATATTTAATATCAATATTTTTAGTCGAAATATAATAATATATCAGTTATATTAAGATGAAGTACCTATTAATTACTATTATACAATATAAAAATAATATATTATATTATATAAAATACTTGACGATAAAAGATTGTATTATATTATTATTATCCTTAATAGGAAACATGTTGATCTTTATTCAAAAGTCTGAGTGTTTCTCCTTCCGTTAGAGTCAGTAGTTATTATAAAATATAAAGAAATTTTGTAGAGTTGCGTTTTGTTGAAACCCAGTATCTGTTAATTTTTATGCTATTCTGGGGTTTACTATTTTGTTCTACTCTATTTTATTTGATTCTACTCTATTTTTTTTTATAATATTTTATTTTATACCATTTCATTTTATACTAATTTATTTCATTCTACTCTATTTTACTTTATTCTATTTTATTTTATTCTATTCTATTTTATTTTATTCTATTCTATTTTATTTTATACAATTTTATTTTATTCTACTCTATTTTATTTTTTTCTAGTTCTATATATTGTTGTTATAGTCCGCTGTGACCTGCTTGTGTAGTCCCTTTGGAGACTCGATAATGACAAATGACTCCTTGGAACCAGTTCTAATTATTAGTTTTATTTTATTTAATTCTATTATATTTTATTGCACTCTATTTTATTATTTTTTTTAAATTCTTTTATATTTTATTACACTCTATTTTATTCAGTTTAATTTTATTCTATTCTATTTTATTCTAAAGCAAATTATATATTACCATGTCGAATATGTAAAATATGTGCTTAATACTAAACTAGTTAACAATTGAAATAACTTTTCCATACCTTCACTTATATTTTTAAGTTAATGCTAATAAATACTATTATTTGTACAATATTATTGATAAGATAATTCATATAATCAATAGAAAAGAATCTAAATATTTTAATTTCACTTTCAGATTTACCTGCAAGGTGGGCGATTTTTTTGCAGCTGATCAAGTTGTTATGGAAATTGAAACCGATAAAACTGCTGTAGGTGTGCCAGCACCCTTTGGTGGTGTTTTACGCGAAATTCTCGTAAACGATGGCGATACTGTTAAACCAAATCAGCCATTATTTACAATTGAAAAGGCTGCAGGAGGCCCTGCACCTGCCCAACCAGCGGCAGCTGCTGCTGCTGCACCTCCAAAACCTGCGGCACCAGCAGCACCCGCAGCACCAGCTGCAGCTAAACCTCCACCACCACCACCACCAGCAGCAGCTAGACCACCTCCACCACCACCACCAGCAGCAGCTAGACCTCCACCTCCACCACCAGCAGCCGGTGCACCACCACCACCACCGCCACCGAAACCAGCAGCACCTGCTGCACAAATGCCCGTTGCTGCTATACGTCATGCGCAAGGCATAGATCCAAATGCGCAGGTTAAAGTACCACCAGCTGATTATACACGCGAAATAACTGGCACACGCACAGAACAACGTGTAAAAATGAATCGTATGCGTTTGAAGATCGCTCAGCGTTTAAAAGATGCACAAAATACTACTGCAATGTTGACCACATTTAATGAAATCGACATGAGGTTAGTGTTAATATAATATTAAAGAAAACTTATTAATTAAATTATTTGTTTTTTTTACTTAAGCTATGCAATGGAATTCCGAAAAACAAATCAGGAGGCTTTCCAAAAGAAATATGGCATCAAGATTGGCTTTATGTCTATATTCAGTAAAGCTTCAGCTTATGCTTTACAAGATCAACCCGTTGTGAATGCTGTCATTCAAGAAAAGGTGAGTTTTGAAGAAATATTAGGTATTGAGTTCAATTTCAGTAAAGCTAGAATAAAATAATTAATTATTCAAAAGTAGTATTACCTTAGTAACACTCAATAAATTAATTATAAACATAGTTACTTAAGTTTTTATAAGAAAAGAACAAAAATTCTATTTTATATGTTTATTATTAACAATTGTGTAGAAAAATAGATACACAGACAAAGTATTGCATATTTTATTGAAATTGATTCAACATGCAATGCATTGTACTTTTAATTAGTTTATCTATTTATTTTTAACATTTCCCTTGTGCTCACAATAAATAGTGATATTATTTACTTCATATGTTGTGTAGTTTTCAAATTATATAAATTATATTTTTTCACAATATTGTCAATAAGTTTTGTATTATGTTTATAATATAGTAAAGGAGTATTTAAAATATCTTATTCGAGTTATTCGAACTTTCGAGCTGTATGAAGTTTCAAAGTGTTCCAATCTTTAAGTTGTTCGAAGTTTCAAAATGTTATAAGCTTCGAGTTCTTTGACAATTCAAGCTATTTGAAGTTCTGTGCTGTTTTAAGTTTCGATTATTTTGATATTCCAGTATGTTTGTGCTCAAGTACACCAACTTAATCGATAGTGTTGGAACATCATATTGTGTTGGAGCATTCGCTATCACACATATTTGCAAAAAAAAAAAAAATAATGGAATCAACATAAACTTGATTTATCTCACGTAGCTCGTACATTTTCGCCTAGTTCGAATATTTTAAACCTTTCTAAGCATTGGACCCAAATGTTCGAATTCGAGTAGAAACTTTGTAGCATTTTCCTATGTAAACTGTATATATATATATATATATATATATTCTTGATTGATATTAAAATAAGAATTCATTCAGACTTTCTTTTGGTCTGTCAATTTGTTAGGAGTTTAATCAGTTTCATAGTTTTTTGTGAATTCAGTCAAATCAGTTTGAGACAATTGAGACAATAATTTGAGTATTTGTTGCCTTTTATACGGAAAACAAATAACTATTTTAAATATATATATTTAAAATGTATTTATAAATGTATATTATGTTGTGGCTTTTCCGAGTTAGTGCATCTGGGCACATTTACTCTTTGATAGGTGGGGGGTTTCTGCAAAATCCCACTCATCTCACTGACTAATTTGTATATTTCTCATAATTTTCGTGATTATTCAATGACAGATTTAAGATCTGTGTACCACTCGGTGCATTTAGTGATTACTTTGAAATTAGATAGTGCTAAGTAGGGCAGCCTGTCGGTTTTCGCATATTGCTTCTAAATGTTTTAATATGAGACCTTAAAATTTTCTTCTCGTTTACTGAATATATCCGATGCGAATATTATCAGCCACCGTTTTACTTTTATTATTTTACAGTTTAAAAAATATTAAGAATATGATAAAATCTTATCAATTGGCAGCAGTTTGTATTATATTATCATCTTAACATTATAGCCTTTATCATTGAATTCTGTTCAATGTAGACTATCTCAGTTATGTATCTAAAGTACTTTCAGATTTACTTTACATAATGTTCTAACATTTATTGACTCTATTGTACAATGACGTCAGTTATAAATTCAGTACAATCATGTGTTCTCTTCTGACTTGTGACGTGATTGTTTGTTTTCATTATAATATTGTATATTTTTTCATTAGTCATTTGGCGGAAATTGTGTTTTTGGCTATGCAGCTATGTTGTACCTTATCGCTATTATATTGTTTACATAATTATTATATTTTTTTTTTGCAAAGAAACCGTATATGTTAGCTTATGCAATTAAAAGCAAAAATTCATGAAATTCTATTATCTATGGAAATATTTGGCACATCGCCAGTATAATTTATAATTTAGACAATTAATTTTTTATAGTGCTAAAATAATGTATTTTCAACTAAAAAGTAGAGAGCTGATGATAGACTAGTTTTGCTATGAAAAGATCTAGCAATAGAAAGAATAATATATAAAATTTAAAAATATATACCTTATTTAGATTTGATTTCTATATAAATTATTTAAAATATAAATAGTGCACTTTAGGTTATCATATTGTTTTTGAATAGAAATTGTTTTTATATTAGCATATAATAGAAAAATATAATAGAAAAATTAATATTCGAACTTTTTTTTATAAATTTTTCTATAAAAATAATATTTGTAAGTTGCAAAGGCATTATGAACTAATGTTTACTTGGTAAGCAAATAGAACGGCAAAATATGTTGAGCTTTAAATTTAAATTTAGAAAAGCAATTTTGTTATAAATAGTATTTAGTTATACTAGAATAATCATGATTAAAAGTCGAGATTGTTCTAGTACTAGAATAATTATATAAAGGTGTTCCTTAGTTTTATATGTTGCAAAGCTTTTGTGTATTAATGTATTCAAGCACCGCTAATATCGAATTCGAACATATGAATCGAACTCTTTAAATGTGCGAATAGCTTAGAGAACACCATATAATATGGTGTTTTTTATATAATTTTATATTTGATTTATATAAATATGTATAATACCAAATGCTTGAATACCTTTGAGCTGTTCCTCTCCCTCGATTCGAATGTTTGATCACAAGCTCAATCGATCGAATGGCTCGAATATTATTATTATAAGCTACTAGTTTTTAAACTACTTCTATTCTATGATTCCTATTTTATGTAATGTGCCCATATCTAATTAGTTTACAACTAACCCCGTAGCTTATTATAGCCTTTTCAATATATTATATTATGGTTATAAACATCATTTTGAAGTCTCTACTTTTTTCAACAATTCATAATTTAAAGCTTTAGAATTATCATGATTTTTAATTTTTTGATCTACTTGACAAGTCAATATTCTCTTTTAAATTTAGTTCTGTACTTCCACACTGCCGTCTATAAAAAGTGCTCTTATACTATTGACTACATAATATATATGTAGTAAAGTTCGATTAATTAAAGTCTTTAAAATAGTAAATGAATATTTACATGGTTAACTTTTGTAGACCCCAACGTTTTTGTTGTTAGATGATACATGATGATGTTAGAATACACATAATTTTTTTCCTAATATCGTTTAAATGCAACTACTAATTTTTAGACTGGATTTTTATAAGTTATAAATCATTTTTACAAGATACAAACTATTTGTGAGTCGTATTAAAATATTTATTTTGATATTCCAATTCTCTTAAGTACTCCTATGTATTAATTCTCTTCGTTAAATTCCGAATCGTATCCAAAAATTATTAATCAAGTACAATAAAAATGAACATTTCTACCGTGTTCATTTCTCTCACGTCTGGTTACACATTTTGTGCAGTAAGTGAAATAATCTTTTCACATTTTAGAAAGAAGGAATGTGAACTAATGAGCGTGGCATACATCCTAAACATGGGTTTTACAAAAATAATCTTCTTTATAAATTCTATAGGTTTAGATTTGTAAACTTAAATCTGCAACTTTGTGATAACAAAACAGACCCCACTGTAGCTCCGTTGTATTCATGTCCTGTACAAATTTACAAAACCCTATTGCTTTATAACCCCGCCCCGTAGTTGTGGCAAGATTCCTTTACCTTAACACAGCTACGGTTCAAGGGTTCAAGGTTCTTAACTATCCATTATTTGAACTTAAACTGCCTCTACTGTTTTCATCTCATCTAATTGTATAAATATTATTCTAGTTCGGAATAATATGGGCTATATAAGGGAGAGGTTTCGGTTTTTAATATTTTTCAATATTTTATTTTTAAAAATTTTTTTGATAATTTATTTTATATTTATTCAATTTATATTTCAACAAAAATATTACTTATTTCTATTAAACATGTTCATTTTTGTAAATCTATCCATGTAAGTCTTCCCTCGAATTATAAATTAGTTAAGATTAGATTAGATTTAAGGGGGAAGTATTTATCACATACTCCACGTAGACTGTCAGTGGTTCCTTTGTGTTACCCTAGAGCTTTTGCTTTAAGAGAATTTTACTATCAATGAGGTATTAATTTAATGCGAAGCTTATAAGTACTTAATTTATAATATAATATTGCTTCTAATTGGTTTTGAAACAAATAACATTTTTGCTCTACTTGCATATTTTTTTATTTTGTTGTATTCATTTTCAAATTTTAATAATTATTTTTTCTTGTATTTTATAGGAAATAATATATCGTGATTATGTAGATATCTCAGTAGCTGTGGCTACACCCAAAGGTCTGATGGTGCCCGTTATACGTAATGTTGAAAGTATGAGTTACGCTGATGTTGAAATAGCGTTGGCTGCGCTTGGACAAAAAGCCAAAAAAGGTGCTATTGCTGTAGAGGACATGGACGGTGGTACCTTCACAATTAGTAACGGTGGAGTATTTGGTTCATTAATGGGAACGCCAATTATTAATCCACCACAAAGTTCGATTTTGGGAATGCATGGCATATTTGACCGCCCGATTGCTGTTAAAGGACAGGTATGCATTCAATGAAATTGTTTAATAAATTCTATTCCTTTATTTAATAATTCTTAATAATTTTTAATTAATAATGGATAAAATAATCATATTTCAGGTTGTCGTACGTCCAATGATGTATGTCGCACTTACCTATGATCATCGATTGATTGATGGTCGTGAGGCTGTGCTATTTTTACGTAAAATTAAACAAGCTGTTGAGGATCCAAGAATTATGCTGGCTGGCATATAAACTATGTATAATGCTTAAAGGAAGATATTATGAAAACAATGCAAAACTAATTGTTTAGTTAACTACTAAAAAAAGCCTTCTATTCTTGAAAAAATGATATCAAATCAATTTTAAATAAATTTATTTATTATAACTATTGAAAAAAATTCAGTTTTCACTTGACAAACACATGTTACTAAAAACACAAATAATACAATTGTCATATATTTATTAAGATATTAGTTGCACAGTTTCTATTATATTTTATATTTTTATTTACTCTGTAAACATTGATTGTATAATTTTATTTAAATTCTTTGAGTTGTTACGTTGAAAATATTTTAAAGTCGGTTTTGTTTTTTAGGATTTTAGGATTCCTAATATTAGGAATTCTTCCTAAAAAGAAGGCAAAAGCGAATTTGTCAAAATACGTATAGGATTATATAAAAAAATGCGATCGAAATAAAAGTTAAAATCCTGAAAGCAAAACCGAATGTATTGATTGTATATTTTTTTCCGAAAACTCTAAAATATTATTTATCTCAAATTTGTAGGCAGTAGCATACAACAACAACAACTACTCAATGATGCAATGTTGAAAATTGCAAATAAAAAAGTATTTCAAAACAAATAAATTACAAATTTTATTATTAAATGACATTGTCAAATATAAATAATAGTATGATATTAAAATGTTCTGCGATTTTTATACTCAACGGTACCATTTATTAGCAGCTCGAGAACGGGCGTAGTTTGCTCCCACAATTTGACCTCAATGTTGTATTTTGATTCTGGCATATAAGGCGGAAAGCTGTCTGCTTCTAAATGCAAGTCCTTAACATAAATTTCTGTATGCTATATAACAAATTAAATAGAAATAAAAATTTGTAAATTTATTTCATGCTATATCATCTACCTTTGCCACTGGACATCTTTTTGGTATATTGGAATATTTTGCAAACTGTTTTCGTATTATTTGTAGTAAATTTAAGAGTCCGCCATTACCTTCCAGAAACTGGCAACCATCGATATTTGTTACATTTACTATAATAAAGTCCGGTTGGTCGTTTTTGACACTGTATAGGGTCAACATTAGTTTGGGTTTCTGTATCATGCCACCAAACTTTATGTTCATATTAATTCCTTCCAAATACTTATTCATTCTCGATAGTGAACAGTTTAAATGGGCAGCATAATAAGAATGTTGAACACATTTTATGGCCGCAAGTCTTATTCTAAATGAGCGCTAATAGATTTGGGGAATATTATTAATATTATTTTAAATTCCATTAATTGATTTTTAAATTGGACTTAACAACTTACCCATGACTCCACTGGTACATACTGAGTACAGCAAAATATGACTAAACAGACTGTCAATTTCATTTTCTTCGTTTATACGTCCGCTTGGTATTGTTATTTACATATAGAAAAACAACTAAATATTTAATTTTATATATAAATGGATTGAAGCTATTGGTTGTTTATGGTTCATTGCACAGAAAATTTGAGGAATGAAAAACATTTGTCATAACTTTGGACTGTAATTTTGTTTGGTACATAACGACTTCTGACACGACTTTCTAGTTAACTTTCATATTAGAAAAGACAATGTTAAACTTAATTGGATTAAATTGCAAATAATGTTTCTAACTTTAAGAAAATAAAGTCTAGAAATTATCCCGTGGTCCATAGAACAAAAAACAAAAATCGTATGTTAGGGAATGCATGTTTAATATTTACCGTGGCAGAGAGTGATAGAGATATTTCTAGCTGAAAAATAACCTTGATTTAAAACAACCTTTAATATTTCAAAAATGGTCATCTATAATTAGGGTATCTTCACTTAATAGTCGCGTGAACTTGTTATCTAACTTCACTGATAACATATCAGCAAGTTTTGTATTTTTAATTCTGCGAATTTTGGTACAACTGCCGTTAGTGATGGAGGATAACTTTATCAAAGAAGAGAGTAGTGTCCGGTTGTGAGTCGATGATGTTAAAAAGCGTCAGTATGTGTTTAGATAAGCGCTTGGTCTTAGGATTTCTTTATAAATCTTTCGACTTGATATTCCAAAGCGTTTTTCTGTATAAAGTCATTTTAAAGCTGGTCTGAACATATGTCTTAGAATTTTTTTTGCGCTAAAAGACCCTCCAATACATAAATACTGTAATGGCATCAATATAACAATTAGATCTATTGTCAAAGCTTCATAATATATCTTTAAAGTAAGAAACGCAATATAGATAGATAGACAGATTTTAAATGGGTTGGGAAATTGTCACCACGTCGCTGCATCCTTAGAGAATTATTGTGACACACCCACTTTAGATCCGTAGACGAGTAGCGGATAAGAACGCCATTATATGCTTTGGGATGTTGTCTAATTCCGTTATAAGTGGATAGGCAGTTGATAAGTACAGAAGTCTGAGTCTGGCAAGACTATCACAGTGACACAGAATGTGTTCTGCTGTTTTCTCTATATAATTTTTGTAAAGGTGGACATTTGTAAATCCATCATATGCTGTAAATAGGTATAGCACTGCTGTAAATCTTATAAATGGTTGTAGGTTTGCTTGGAAATAGAATCGGTTTTATATCTTTAAGTAGAATTTAATTAAAAGAAACTTTTATTTTAACTGTAATTGTAAAATAGGTTATTAAAATGGAGACCATACACATAGTTTTGTGATTCTTTTTGTAAAAAACTCTTTTTGAAAATTTATTTTTGTTTTGTTGCAAAGACAGATTATAAAGAATATAACATGTAGTAAAAACCAAAGTAATATTTTTTATTGTAATAAAAAAATGTTTACTGAATATTACTTAACAAAAATAATTTATTTTTATAATTTATTTTATTACATTTAATTTTATAAAAATTAAAAATTAAATCAGAGTAGTTGTCAGTTAATTTTTTTTATTAATTTTTTACAAAAAAAATAATAATAAAATATGTAAGACAACAATATTTATTAATTTAATTATTTAATTGTGAATTAACACTAAAATTAATCTTAAAGTTGATTAAGACTTAGGAACTGGACTTTACCCTGTGCTGAAATTAAACAATATGAAAATATCTGATACATTTACAAAAAAAAAAAATTTATTAAAAATAATTTATTTCTAAGTATTTATATTTTTCAAAGGCCGCTACTGTCCTTACAAATCAAAAAAAAGCTCTTCTTTAACAGTTTAGTTAACCGACGGATTGTTTTCAACTTTCTAACTGTGGGAGTGTAAGCCTTGCTGTAACTGAAGAGAAATGCTTTAAGTCCAAAATAATAAATGAGATAAGACAAAAACAATAAATACTATAAGATGTTGCAAGTCGCTCTTAAATTTTCTAGGCTTTTTCCGAAGTGGGCCTTTTTGTTAGCAAAAACAATTAACTTTAGCTAAGCAACACAATCCACATTTTCTTGATACCATATATTTTGTTATTATAATCTTAACAGAAATTATTGCAATTCTGTTAAAACAAGTAAGAACATAAAATGCATTTGCAATTGTTGTTTATGTAGCGGATTTGATAGGCAAAGGAAATTATTATTTTTGGAGAGAGTAAACTTTGATATTAACCGAAGAGAAATGCCTAAGCATGCAAATAGTAACATAAAAAGAGAAATAATGTAGAAACAAGAACGTTATATGGCTCCTTTGATCGGTGTATGCACAGACAACGAATTTTGCTGCGCACCACTTGATGTTCAACTTGAAAATAAATATAGAAAATTTAAGAGCGACTGGGGACATCTTATTATATTTATTGCCTTTGTATGTTATATATAATTAAAATAACAATAAAAATTTAATATTAAAAAATAATGTTAAACAAATCGATTCGTGACTGTACCGAACACATCCGTAACGGAATATGTATATACGGAATTTTGAACTCCAATATTATTTTGTTGCTTTTATTAATACAAATTTTTTTGTTTAAATAATTATTTTTTAATTATATTTAATATTGGTGAAGTTAAATAGTTTGTCGTCAAACAAAATAAACAACAGAGTAAAATTTAATGCGGAGGTTTTTATAGTAAAATACATACGATAATCTGTGCAAATAAACTATTTTGTTTTTTGTTTATGTTGGTCACTTTTTCAAAATCTGTGTACATATATGTACATATGTATGTAACTTGTGATTATTTAAGTGCGTGTGGATTCTCGATAGTACCAAAATAAATTAAATGCTTTAATTTGTTTCAAATATAAATATACGTATGTATATATAAACTGTTTGAATTTTGTTAGAAAATTTAATACACACCAGCAATTATTTTTTATATATGTACCTACATAATTTGAACTTACAAAATAACACGTATTAATGTGAGTGTAATATGTATATATGAATTGGTATAAATATATTTAAAACTAATTATGAATGGAAACAAAATTATTTAACTAAAGTATATTAAATAATTTTACAATATATAAAAGAATTGCAATAACATGATATTTAAATAATATTATTAATTAAATGATATTACACAAAAAAAAAAAATAAAACAATAAATATATATACATTAATTTTTTGAATCGCGTCTATATTATTTGTTCAATGGAGTGCCATTGTCAAAAATAATTGTATTTGTTGTTTTAGCCATTTTTATGTGTTAAATAAATGCACATAAAATAAAAATAAATTTGAAATACAACAAAAAACATGCTAAAGGTTTAGTTTTCATAAAGCAACGGCACATAAAATCCAGAAAACCTTTAGTAAAAGCTCTGGCATCGTCGGTAATAGCGTTTAAATTCAGGTAAATGAATTTTTTGTTGTTGCTTTTTTTTAAATATTTGCACTAACGTTTATGTTAAGCGACAAATAGTGTTGCCACAGCGTATAATTATTTATCATTGCATAAATAAAAATTTAAATATTACATGTCGTTTTCACAGTCATAACTCAAGTATAATTATTTACCACTGCAATTCAGGGTTAAATAAAAATAATAAATGTCGATTTTACAGTCATAACTCAAGTCTCAATACTGACTTAAGTTCTACATAGGACATGTAATTAGGTGACTTGATTTATATTCAAGTTTTGGGACTTAAGTTAGGACTCTGAAATTGTTTCCCTATTGCTTAAGTTATGCTTTATTATTTTATTCACGTCATTCGAATTCAATAATATTTGATAAGATATTTTTAAATTATTATTAATTAAATGTTTATTTTTTTAATACTTATATAAATGAATCGGTATCTACTCTTAAAGCAAACAAATATGAATAAGTAAATAAAATTTAGTCTTTAAACTATTACATTCTTTTAAATAAAGCAATCTAAATCTAATTAATTATTAAAATAATAGAAATAATTCAAATAAATTTGATTTGCAATATTATGTAAATAGTTTATTTGTCTGAAAAAATAAAAATATATTATTTTCCTCTTTATATTCAAAAATACTTTTTTTTGTTTATGTTAAATTAAAAGGTTGTTCAGAATGTATTTAACTTTTATTATTTTATATAAATAAAAGATAATTTACTTATAGTGAATAAACATTTTATTAAATTATATATTGTCTATTCTGGTTAAATACATTTTGCCATTTTTCTGAGAGTAGCATGACTCCATGGTCATACAATTTTTATTTCTTGCTGGCAGGAACCAGATTCAGGTGGCATTTGACAACCTTATTTCAAGTAAAGGTTTTACCATTTCAAGCGTTTCAAAGAGACCTAAACAAATAATAATCAGAAGATGCGAGATGTAGAGAATATTGTGAGTATTGTGAGATAGTATATTCCATTCTAGCTGAAAAAACTCATGGCTGGTTACCAAACTTGTATGGGGTTACATAAGAACAAGAGCAACTTTAACATCGAATTATGAGACTAAGCCTTACTATATGTTTCATATGATTATGCACGGTCGAATTCTTAAATTTGATACTCTAGCAAACTCATTAGTTGAGTTCCGTCGGTTTACATTTATCAATGTTTCTATGGTGTCTTTATCAGTCTCAACTGGTCTTTTGGAGCTTGTTGTCTCTTCAACATCTAATTTGCACGATCAAAATTTAGCAGACAAGTTCTCACACTGACGTTCCTTCAATACATCTCCAACTTTTTCTTGCTTAGCAACTTTTTCTTGTGAAGAGTTAAAATATGTTTTTGCATTAACCAAAGAACGATATATATTTTTTAGTTGTTCAAACGCAGGTTTAGCTTTTTGAATTCTGGACTCCTTAAGGGTACCATCACTTTTTGCTCTTTGACTTCCAATGCATTTAAATCGTTCTATATCCTTGATGTAGTTGCCTTCAATGTTTAATAATGCGTTACCTGTTTAGTAACGCATGTTTTTAGTTTTTGTACTGTTTATTATGAGATCGGCTTTCTTTAATTGTATATGCTATAGCGATTGGTTAATATGGCTACATCATAAGCATATATTAAATCACTTAGTTCCCACATTATCAATTTCCACCGATTCAAAAACCAAATCTAAAACAATTGTAAACAATAACGGTGAGAGAACACGCTCTTGCTTAACGCCGCTTTTATATTCAAGAGCATCGTCAAAATGCCAGAGAGTTGTACGCGGCAGGTTATATCCTCATAACATTCCTTAATCACATGTACTTTTTTGTAGAAACACCTCTGGTGGTGAGCGCTAACCATATGGCTTCTCTTTTGAGAATGTCGAACGCTTTTAAAAAAACTATAAAGGCAATGTATAATGGCGCGGTAAATTCTATTGATTGTTCGCAAATCGTGCGTACGGTATTTATTAGATCGACGCAGGATCTTTTTGATCGGAAACCTGCTTGATTTGATCTAAAAACCTTATACATAAGTTCTACAATTCTGTTAAAATGATTTTTATAATAAATTTTTGTAATAGTAAAAGTACGATACCTCTCCAGTTTGAGTACATTTTTTTGTTGCCCTTCTTGGAAATTTTGATCATAATTGATTTCTTCCATGACTTGGGTACAGTGTCTGATATTTTCTTTAAATATAGTTATGTAAAGTGTCTATTAGTTAATCAAATCGCAAAGGTTGAGTAGTTTGTTCAACCTTATAAGCAATTTACAATTTACTGGGTTTTACAAGTGCGGTTTTTGTCATTGATATATGTTGTAATCCGTTCGGTATGTGATTTGAGAATCATTTTTTAAAAGTAATCAAAGTTCCGTGTTAGACAAAAGTAATAATTTCAATTATTTTATAATTCTCCTTTATTTTAAATATTTCTTTCTATAAATATTAACTTAAAATTGTTAGTAGAGTGAATTGACTTCAGGTCAAATTGGTTTAATATAAGCATCGTAAGATTGTACGTATATTATATACAAAAGCTGATGTAATCTTGATGGACTAGATAAATGAACTCAATTTTAAAATTATAAAAAGAAAGATAATTTCACATTTGTAGTGAAATAATTTTTGTGTTAGGAATTTTATATTCTTGCCTTCAGTGATTTCCCCACAAAAAAAATTAAGAGGTTACATTCTAAAATTTCATTTCAGTGATAAAAAATATAGATTAACTGACTTTTGTAGATTAGGAATGTCGAAATACACTTAGTATGATTGCAACTAGGATTACTAATACAATTTTTTCTTCGAAATATAAAACTTGACTATTAATTAGTCAATTGATTATTATTATCAATTATTAGTTTGTATT